CTGGCAACGTCTATGGCTGTAGCGGCTCGGCACCGAGTGACGGCTATTCCCGACGATCACCTCGACCTTTACACTACCCATTACGACAAAAAAAAAAGTATGTTTGGAGTCCATAACATCAAATTTTTCCATGAAAATAAAGGCTAGCAATAATTTGCCGAAAATCTCATTTTTATAAGATTCTTCTAAGGCCTTTGAACTCAAATCTCTAACCACTCCTTATGGCACTTAAAACTCATTTATACCAGTCATTAGGAGCAGCAAAAATTGTGGTTCTAACTCAGCAAAATCGCATTTATCTCTTTCTCAATTATCGAAAGTAAAAAGGCTCGGCTTGGGATATAAATACCCAATTCTTAAAACACATAGCAAGGCCTTTTAAACACCAACAAAGCATGTTATTTGGGCTCCATATTAGAGGTTTAAACCTCGCATTTAAATAAAATTTTCAAAACCCAAGGCTCCGAACAAAACAACAATTAATCCCGATTTTTCCACAACTTTAAACCAATCATCCCGACCCTTTTAAACATCAAAATTATTAATTTTCAGAGGCTAAAATGATGTCCTAATCAAGGTCCAACATCAATTGTCATGTCATATCACAATACTCTAAATCTCATGAATTTCTCGATTTTCAAATGTATCTTATCTCCATGAACCCTAAACCATATGAAATCCTTCAAAATGAACTCTAAATATCCAAAGAAGGTTAAGCCATATACCTCCTTCGGGATTAGAAGGAGACACGGATGAAAGACTGAAGTAAGGTGACCTCGGACGTGATAAAACTCGACCTCGGCTGCTGCAACTCACGACAATGGGCTACTCAACGTGCGATGCTGATGTTCTTGTTCGGTTGTTGCTCGTATGTCGCTCCAAGGTGCTGCTAATACTCGAAGGGCGCTGATCGATGATGGAGGAAGAAAGGACGGCCTGCAATTCACTCGCGAAGGCCCGCTGCTCGACGTGAACGGGTCTTTCTGCTCGATCGCGGCTGTTTCTCGCGGCTCCTCCTCTGCGATGGTCGGTCGAGGGCTTGGATGCGGGATTCCTCTCGCACGGCCAAGGACGTCCGCTGCTGCTCGTGGATTTCTCCTCCTCTCTCACGGAAAGGCACGCACGCGGTTGGCGGGGACTCCCAGCGGCGTCGGCACAGCGCGGGCGATCTAAGGGCTGGCTTACGGCGATTGGTGAGATTATGGAAGGAAGCAATATGTGGGATGATTGGAACGAGAAGAGAGATATCTGAACGAGGGTTGCGGCGAATGAATGAGGAGGTCAGCCGAGGGTTTTTCTGTATAATAATGTGGAATAAATTCCTATTCCTTGTTTGGGAAGGAATAAAATTTCCCGACTCCACTCAGCTTAATGGCGAAAAATAAGACTGGAAATCGGCTTAAACTCGGTCTCAGAAAAATTCTAATGAGTCGAGAAATTCAACAACACTGAAAACGGCTAAAATAATCGGTTCTCGCTAAACTAAAAAATTCTAATATCTCGGCTAATCTCTCTGAATAATTTAAATAGACTAAAACGTCTAAATAAATTAATTATCTCAAATGATTAAATTAGACACTCACGTCTAATTAATCCGAAAAGTTGTCGAGATCAGAGAAATTAGAGAGATTGTGATAGCCTTAAGGTTGAGTGGGACAGTATAACCAGAGATGAAGAAATCTACTGGAACCAAAATGCCAGAGCAAAGTGGATTAAGGAGGGAGACTCCAACATTAAATTTTTCCATGCATTAAGAGTCCAAATGAGAAGAACTAATGTTATCACTAAGCTGATTGATGAGAGGGGTCAAGTATGGGAGTCTGAAACTGGGATTGAGCATTCTGTCAGTGACTTCTATGATAAGCTTTTTTACTTCTGAAGGGTCTAGGGAAGGAGATGCTCTGCTTCAATTAATCCCTACTTCAACACACTTGAATGAACTTTGAACTAGTGGCACCAGTTGAGGAGGAGATCAAAGAGGCACTATTTAGCATAGATCCAAGAAAGGCACCAGGGCAAGATGGTATGTCTCCTTGCTTCTTTCAACATTTCTGGTCTTTGATTAAATTTGATATTTGTGCTACTATATCTAGTTTTTTTTTTTTATTTGGTCAAACTCTAAAAAAGTATCACACCCTCATCACTCTCATCTAAATGTTAAACCATGAGTTCCTTAAGAATTATCGACCTATAAGCTTATGTGGGGTCACTTTCAAAGTCATTTCCAAAATCTTAATTAGGAGGTTGAAAAATTGTCTGAATTCTTGTGTGAGTGACAACCAAGCTGCCTTCATACCTGGAAGGCGGCTGCTTGATAATGTCATTGTGGCTCAAGAGGTGGTCCATTTTTTAAATAGGCACAGATCTGGGAAAATTGGGTATATGACTATCAAATTAGACATGGAGACAGCTTATGATAAGATTGAATGACTTTGTGTTCAGAGGGTCCTGCTTAGGATGGGTTTTCATAGTACCTTTGTTAAGTGGATAGTTGCTTGTATTTCTTGTGTAGCATATTCTTTCAATTTGAATGGTGAAGTTCAAGGGTATGTTAAGGCTACTAGAGGGATTAGACAAGGTGACTCACTGTCACCTTACTTATTCATTTTGGTTTCTGAGATTTTTTCTAGGTTGATTAGGTTTGAGGTGGGTAGGGGTCATTTCAAAGGGATTAAGCTAACTAGAGGAGGTCCCCTACTCACTCATCTAGGGTTGCAAACAAGCCGAGCCGAGTCGAGCATTGGCCTTATCGAGCAGGATTGATTTTTTTTTAAGCTGCTCGAGCTCGACTCGATAAGAAAATATAATAGCTCGAGCTCGACTAGAATTCAAATGCTCGAGCTCGGCTCGAGTTCGATTCGAAAATTTTCAAACAAATTTGTCAAATTGTATATATAAAAGGGGTATTTTTAGTAATTTACCATATATATCGAGCCGCTCGACATTGTAAAATATGGGCTCGATCTTGACTCGAGTTTGTGATCGAGCCGCTCGAGCTCGACTCGAGTTCGGTCAAACTCGAGCTCGAGTCGAGCGCTCGCGAGCGGCTCGCGAGCCGCTCGATTCATGTGCAGCCCTACTCTTTACCTATCAAAATTTTACTGGTAAGTAAACCTGGGGAAGTCTTTAATTTTTTTTTTTCAGTAAAAATACTCCTGATACTTTGAAACATCACATTTGTCAGATATTGCAGGGAATTTCTGTAAAGCACTCTCCAAAGTATCTTGAGCTGCAAGAAACCCTTTGCTTATGTGTTGAACACTGTGAGAAACAGACTTGTGAGTTGGAAGAATAATTTTCTATCTGCTACAGGAAAAGAGGTTCTAATTAAAGATGTGACTGATGCTCTTCCTGTTTTTACCATGTCATGTTTTTGTCTACCTAAGGGTGTTTGCAATGAACTAGCCAGGATGTGTGTTGAGTTCTGGTGGAGTAAGGGTGACAAACAGATCAAATGGCTTCATTGGAAAGCATGAAAAATCATCACTTTGTCTAAAGAATTGGGTGGCCTGGGCTTTAAGGATATAAAGCTCTTTAATGAGACACTAATAATCAAGCAGCTCTGGAGGATCATTACTTAACCAAATATATTAGTAAGCAAGGTGCTGAAGGCAAGGTATTTCCCTCAATCATCTCTTCTTGAAGCAAAGAAATGCTATAATGCTTCCTGGTTGTGGAGTAGTTGGTTGGGAGTGAGAGATAAGTTTAAGAGTTGCTTCAAAAAAGAGGTGAGAGATGGGCTATCTACTGAAATATGGAATGACCCTTAGGTGCCTAATGTCTGCTTGATAAAACCTGAGAATGAAAGTGTCTGTGGTGCTAATCTGAGATGGGTAAGTGACCTTTTGGTGGAAGGAGGCAGAAGCTGGAATCAAAGACTCTTAGATGAACTTTTCAATGCTCAGACTAAAGAGAGGATCCTACAGGTAAAAACTTTAGATCCTTCTCTTAAGGATAAGTGGGTGTGGAATTTGGACAAAAAGAGAAAGTTTTCTATAGCCGGGGCTTATAAAAATCTGGTTGTCAAGAAATGGAGGAAATTGAACTTGGCTGAAGGAAGTGACTCAACAGAGAAGAACCTGAAAATAAGAAGGAGATGCTGGAGACTAGATGTGAAAGGAAAGCTGAAACATTTCATTTGGAGGTGTTTCAATAATGTGCTTCATGTGGATGAGAACTTGCTTAAGAGAGGGTTAATGATTGACGCTACCTGTGAGGGGTGTGGTGAGGCAACTGAAACAGAAGAACATCTCTTTTTTCATTGCAGGAGAGCCAAGTTAGTCTGGAAACTAGCCCCTATGAACTGGGAGGGAGCAATGGACACAGTAGATGATTTTAGGGAATAGTGGTGTTTGGAGTGCCTGTGGACAGAAAACAAGTGTTTGAAGCTATAATCCAATTAACCACCTTCATATTATGGTGGTTATGGAAGTCTAGAAATCTTTGGAAGTTTTAGAAGGTTAATATGCCTGAAGAGGTGGTAGTCAGAGCACCATGGGGCATGATTCTCATCCCTATCCAAGAGCATGAGTTAGATGATGTTTTCAGTGGGCTAGGTCCTGGTGGTTAAGTGGCTTCACTAGACCTCTTTCCAGTTACATGCTAATGGTTAGATGTTATTTTGCTGTTTTAGTAGCCTTTTCTTTGTTGTATTATTGGTGTTGTATTGTTTCTTGTATTGCTCCTAAGGTTTCAACTTGTCTTGGCTGCCTTAGGAGACATTTGGGATGTTTAGTCTTTGACTAGGTCACCTGCAAGTGGACATATGTTGTATATTCTTGATCTTGTGGAGTTAGTCTACTCCCCGACTTGTAAACTCTGGTTTGTTAAATGCATTTACCGTTTTAAAAATATAAATAAATATTTCTAAACAACTTTTGTTATTTATTATATTTTTTCTTCAATTTTTTCTATTTTTCAACTAATTATAATTTTACATGTATCAAATTAATCTATTTTTAATATTAATCATTGAACGCACAATTTCTATCTCCGTGCCACTGTAATCCAAAATGGTCAATTGTGGGAAATGTTCTTATTAGTTTACCTTCCGCGTATGCGGTTATGCACACTCGCAAACACACTCATGAAATTTCATTCGCACGCTTCCAATTGTGATATCCGCAGATCGCATAAAATTCCATGTCCAGGAATCAAGTTTCATCTCCTTCTGATCCATAATATTATCCTGTTTTTTCTTCTTTATCTTCAGTTTTCTCCCCCTGTTTCAGCCATCAGGTACACCAAATCCCATGTTCTTCCCTTTTTATTAAAAAAAATAAAAATAAACATTGGAACTCGTCTTTTATAAATTGAATGTGAATTTTCCGGCCAGTGTTGTGGACTTTTTGTAAATGTAATTCAGATGCACGGCTAAAATTTAGTTGCTGTTTTCTTTTGGGCCAACTCTTGTGGTTCCATTGGATATTCTACTTTGATTGGCCTTGAATTTTCTTAATCAAGGTCGATGCTCAAATTCTTACAGGAAGGGCGTGAGTCTTCGGGACAGGCGTTACTGTAGAACCACAGTTCAAGGAAGATTCCTTATCAGTGATGATAATGGTAATATGATTGCTCTAGTAAAATTAAATTTGGTGATCTTTATGACAATTCTTATAATGAGGTGGTGAATTGATAGTTGAAGTTGCATATAATGAATTTATTAACTAAACAAAATTCTGAATTACCTAGTGGGATACTTCTATTTTGGTTTGCTTGACTGAAATCTGTTGGTCAGGCCATAATACCTGTGCTGCTGCAGGTGAGTTTTTTTTTGGAATTAATCCTGATTAAAATTATCTTTTTTTCTTTTTTGAATTTTAGCAGATTAATTTGTTCAAGATTGTGACTCGTCCATTTACTTCACCAACACCAATGTTTACTTTAACTACAAGAGTCTACCTTAGTTGAAAACTACCAAGTTTGTGAAGCCATATGACATTTGTATTGGCATTTGTCTGCCTCTATGATACTGTTGTGTTCTTTAGCATTATGAAACAATATAGAGTAGACTGTAGATCAATGATGTGCCTATCCATTATCCTTCCCTTGACTTCTGTACTCAGCAGGCTTTTGGCTACTATTTTATGATGGAAATTGTGAGTGGTGTACATGTTGAGTCAGTTTCTTATATTTGTATTTTCTGTATTATCTTCTTTCTTTTATGCTCCATTTAATTGTTGCTATAGTCCTTTGTATATTTTATTTAGCTCCTTATCACTTCTCCTGTGAGTAATTTTTGCTATGCTAAGCAGTGGCTCACCCATCAATTATTAATTTATATGTTTAGTTGTGGGCCTGCTGGAATTTGCTAGTCAGATCATAATATGACGGTCCTTAAGACCATCTATTTGGAATGCCTGTGAATGATAGATTTTAGAAAAATATCAAATTTGAAAATATTTGGCCTCAGCTTGATCTTGTCATCGTGAGGTTTCATTCTTGTAGGTTATGTATGTGATTCATTTTCAGTTGATCCACTCACCCGTTGTTGCCCAAGAAAAGGAGACAAATTCTCTTGCCAGTGAGTTTTCTCTATTGAATCATCTAGTCAATTTTTATTTTTATTTTTGTTTACATCTGCTCTATTCTGGGTCTTATTTCTTCATTTTGGACAACTTAGATGGAGTTGTATATCTTAGGGGCTTGAACTGAACTGCGTATTTTATATCGTATCTTTTGAGTTTCGATATTGTGATTTGAAAGAACAATATCATGATAGTGGATATCTTGTGATGAGTCTGGAAATTGACTCATTGGCAGCTACTAACAAAACATGATCCAGACGTATGTATCTGAATAGCAAACATTCTGTCATTAAAGTCTGTCGACCTGGTCTTGTTAGTAGTAAAGAGATTATACGAACGGAACTCGTGAATTTGGTGTAGTTACAAATGTATATTCAGTTTTCCTTTAAATTACAAATACCTGCTTGAGGTTTGCATCTGTTTTACACACAGGTCTTTCAATTGGTTCAATATACAAGTATATGTCATGGGGGTTGTTTTTTATTCTGAAGAATAATGTTAGGCTATGCTGTATGATACTGTTTGTAATTACCCCTGCAATGTAATTGTTTACTTTTCTTGTCAGAACATTTTTCTTTTTCTTTCTTTTACTTTTTAATAGGTATCTATCTCAATCTGCAGAGGCTGCAATATTGTTTCTCAGTGCTGTAACTCATATGAGTATTGCGTTTCTTGCTGCTTGAATCCAGTAATGGTAATAACTCACCCGTTCTTTTCTCTTTCATCATCATCTTTTTTTTTTTTTTGCACCAAATATTCTTTTCACTTACCAGAGTCTATTTGTTCGACAGACTCTTAAAGAATTGGCTTTAAAGGTCAAAATAGCAAAACCTGTGACTGCTGGTACATGTTTACTCGGAAGATTGTAGAATTTTTGCCATGTTCGTATTGAATTTTCCTGTAATCTATGTACTTCCCTTTGAGGATTTACATTTTAATCTGCATGTAACAGGAAACTACGAAAGTGTTTTTGACTTTTGTGCTGGGAGATGTCGGCATAATTCTGCGAGCGTGGTATACTTTCTATTTGCTTGATTTTAAAATTATTGTGTGAAGGGCTGCAACCTTGTAATAGGATTGCAAAACCGCATTTCAGCATAAATTATTTGTGGTTGGCCTCGATATAACCATTCTCTTAAAGCTCACAAATGTTAGCCCAATGCGGTTGTGCTTTCAAATCTTAGGCCTTTTTTTTTTAATTATTTTCCAGCATTTATATTTTTCCTTTCTGTCATAGATCTCTTCATATTATCCTTGCTCATAACAACCAATTTAGCATTATCACTTTTAGTTTTCTGTGAATGGCCAATTGGCAAAGAAAATGTTTTCATGGTCAAGGAAAGGTCTATAAACTCTGGATAAGATAATGAATGGAATCCCTGGCATTTTATTGTTTGGTGAAATAAGTGAAACTAATATGATTACATTTCCGGTTTTCACTGAGTGTGAACCCCTGCATCATGCTTGTCGAAAGATAATATTTTCGAAGGGAAAAATTTATTAAATATTACCTTATGGACTACTTTTGAAACCTTAACATTCACCAAAAGCTGATGCAGTACCATTAGTCGCCACTCACTGGTGACTGGACTTATTTCATATTTCAGAATGACAGAGACCAATGCACTTTCAGTTTTATAGCATTTGACCATATTGGAACTGATATCACATGGCATTTGGTAGTTTATTTCCTTTGTTTTTTCTATATATCTTTCAGGTTCATGAAAATGCATATCAAAGTGAATATCACCATTGTTTTTCCATACCTTCTAATTTCTCAGGTCAGTTTGAATGTTTTTTGATTGTTATTACAAACAATAAAATGGTTATCAATGCAATATCTATCAATTTGTTTCCCCATTTCACATTTTCATGTTTAGTCTTTTTCTTGGTCTTTTAACTTCAAGAACGATTTTCATTTTCTTTACACTTTGATTTTTGCCTGTATGTTTTTTATTTGTAAATTTGGTGACTGCATTGTTTTTATTGTTCTTCTTTGTCTTATTTTTTCTTGTGTTTTTTGTCTGAATTAAGCTTTAGTTATATATGCTGCTTTAGTTTGGATCAATAAGTGATGTTCTTGCATTACAATTAAAATGTGGAATTGTTATATTTATTAACTAATTTTATGTAGGTTTGGTTTGCGTGCGCATTTATTTTTATGTATATTATGCCTATTTCTTGTGGCGTTTCTTCAACAAAATGTTATTGGTAGAGTGGAAGCCTTCTTTTGATGGAGAAGTAATTATCAACACGTGTCTAATTTTGCCTATTATTTATTATTTATGTTGGGCTGAACCAGCGAAAAGAAACTATTGTTTCTGGCTAGTTCAATAGTTTGACAATCCACGAGACCTTTATTCATGACTTTCTCATCTCCAAGCTTGACTGCGGTCAAATTTATTTTAAAGGAAAATGGCCTTCATATAAGAATTTGAGCTTGATTTTCAGCAAAAGTACCTAAAAAATCTTCAAATGTTGTTGGTAGTTAATAGAAATTCTTTGTAGGGATTTGGAATATTGGTGCTTAAAGATGTAGAAAGAGAAGAAAGTTTTGTTTGATATATCTACAAGCCATTATATTTGTGACATTATATTTGCATGCGAGGTTCTCAGAAACTAGAAGACGTTGTGCTTAAGGGTATTTCAATGACAGGATCTTCTGGTACACAACTCGAATCAAGACTGATGACATCTAGTACACAACTCGAATCAAGACTGGCTGGCATCAATATCATTATTGGGAGGTAATTATGATGGTTGCTTTGCTTTGAATCTGTAGGAAGACCTGATAAATTACAAATGCTGATCCCTTATATTTTGTCCTATATAATAAATAGACAGGGGGAATCATGTGACATAGTGTGCAAATCTGATGGTCAATCTTGTGTGCCCAACAAGCTTTCATTACTCAATCAGTGTGAAGTGTAAGCATAATTCTTCAAAGTTTTATTAGGTGTATTTAACTTTAATTTAGTATGTCATTTGTTATTTCTGTGCTTTAGTCTTTGTCTTCCTGAAACTCTTATTACTTCCATGACCATCATTGTGTAAGTTTGAACTCGTAGCATAGTGACGATATTGATGTGCACGAAGTTGATCTGCTCGTGTGCTAAGTATCTTCATTTGATCTCTCTAGATGGTCTTTTTTTTCAAAGATAGGGGGCATGTTTCCTAATACGTTTCGAACAAAATAATTAGCCTACTTAAAATTGTGTTCCAGATAAGTGAAAATCTTGCTATATAAACCATGTAGTGACTTGTCAGCATGTGTGCATCTAGATGGAAGTGAACCAGTCTCCAAACCTTGAATTGACGGCTGTATCCCAAAAACATGAGAAAGATAGTTGTTGTTCACTTATTGCACCATAGTGTTGGTTATTGTGCCTCATCTTTCGGTTTTTTGGTGTGATGGTTCGAGTAAGTTTAAGTCGATTCTTTATCACTTTTTTTTTTCTTTACATTATTTATTCAATAGGGTCAAAAAGTTACAAAAAATAATTTAGTAATATTACAAAAAACTTGTGTAGCTTGACATATATACTGCTCTTGTGCATGCTTGCCAACGTTGATTATAATTAAACTCTTATGCTGTTTTTCTTCTTGTCATAAATAGTATCCAAAAATATATGAAATGCAAAGGTGCCTGTTTGTCGAGTATTGGAGCTGACCAACCAGCTGAAGTGGTCGACGATGCCCCAAGACATTTGGTACAGTTTTCGATTTTCTGTAGAACTCCAGATGCTCTTTTTTATGGTTGAATCTGTGTGGAGTACAACTACAAATAGTTATGTAGATTATTTGGACGATACTGATAATGAAAGGGGAAAATGAAAAGCCAAATATTTTCGCATTAGTTGTTTAATTCTAATATGGGTCGTGCCAACCACCAATGCAAAATTCCAGCCTTTATTAAGAGTTTATCTGTTTCCCTTGGTGAGTTTATAATCGCTTTATTTGATCGACTTACCTGTGTTCCAATTACATATGAAAAAAACATTTTTAAGCGTAAGTATACAACTCAAATAAGCTGCAATGCCATTTAAATCATTGTGTCACCTACCTTACGTTAGAATGTGTGTGCTTGTTATTTATTTGCTGAGGAATCTGAATGATTTATAGAAAATTGTCTAGGTTGGACCCTATATAAACTAAATTTTATTCTCTTTTCTCACCTCTAATTGCTATTGGAGTTATCTGGACTCTCTCTCTCTCTCTCACACACACACAGACACACACATGCACACACACACACACACTCACACACACACACAGAGACAGAGAGAGTTCTGCAGATATCATGATTTTACATTTGTTATAGCTTAAAGATCTTGGAATAAGCATTTCCTGCAGCAGCATGTGCAGATTTCCTTATTCTATGCATTGAATATAGCAGTTTTGTAACCATGGATGATCTTATGTTCTGTTTGTCCTAAAAGATTGTTTCCTTATATTCAGAACCCAGGTGCTTGCTTGTACACTACAACAGAATCTATCCTTTCCTGTGATGGCTCACACAGTCATACAAGGAGGCTCTGTCCATGTGCATAACTGAGTCTTAGAAGTTTGCTCATTTGTCCGAGTGGATGCTTTGGAATTCTGACACAGGAATTCTCTTCTAGATTGTTTAGTCAAATATACGATACGAACCGCAAAATGGTTTTATGATTTATGATTTTGTAAACTGTAAGTACTTACGTTATAGTTTGTTCGGTTAACTGAATGTAAAGACGGTGATCAGAGATAGAGCAATCGGGTTTTCCCATACGTAAACCAATCGTCAATTTATAATATCTTTTCTTTTTTAAATATATATTTTAATCGATACTTAAATAATTGAAAATTTAATGTAATCTTCTCCAACCAGTTTAGGCATATATGAAATATTCATCTTACCACGTATTTCTTACTTTTGTGAGCGGGTAGAATGGTCGTGCTGAAAACGTGTTATAAATAAAGGAAAGATAAAGAACTCGATATAAATATTGGATATAATATATATACTGATTTTCTTCCTTCTTACTTCTATATCATCCAACTATACTCACTTTCCTTTTTATAAGCAAATTCAAGCAAATTCTATCTTTCACACATTTCCATACATTCACAAATTTTCATATGTTCATGACAAGATTAATATTGATAAGATTACTAGTGGTAAATCCACTTGCTCATAACAAAATCCAAATAATGCCTAAACAACATCCCTTTTTATATATTAATTATTAATGTAGAATTTCTCGCATCTATATGTCAACTTTAACTTTTAGTGCTTCATATTTATATCTATCAAATTGGTATTTCGTAATTCAATATGTAATTTAGAGTAGTCCACATGCCTCTTTAAAGCTTTTAAAATTATAAAATACACAATTTAAAATTTAAAGTTTATTTTAAAAATTGACTGCTTTATATTTGTTATTTTGCTATCAATTTTTGCTTATTTATATGTCATCAAATTAATTATTTTTTGACGAATTTTGATTTGTCAAATTAATCATTTTTACAAGTTTCGATATGACATCCATATTGCAGATATTTATAAAGTGGCTATATTTATGCTTATTTAAAAAAATTAAATTAATATTTATAAATAACTGAAAAATAATAAAATAATATATCAATTAAATAAACTTATGGATAATCTCATTATATGTTATAGATTAGAAAAAATATTACTATATAACAAAAGTGACAAGTATAATTTTAAATATAAATATAACATAATTATTTATCTAAACAAATATTTAAAATTTAATACAAAGACTTCCAGCGTCTTCTATAAATTTTAAGAGCCTCTCCAATGCTGCTCCAGATCCATATCTATCGCTGGAGTTGTGTTGAGTTTACCTCTCCGGTGCATCTCCACATTTTTGCGCTAGATGAAATATATGAACAGTACATCGCCAGATGTGGCGATGAACTGTAGTTGCGCTATAACCTTTTTTATTATTTTTTAAGTGGTTTATTGCAGGTTTTTTTTTATCTTTATTTTTCATATGTTAATCTAATTTTATAAAAAAATATTTCAATATTTTTTCAAATTAATTAAATTATATAAAAATATATTTTATCAAAATTTAAAATACAACTTATAAAAATACTCTATAATAAACATAATTTAAAAATACTGAAAAATTATTTATGATAGAGCAAAATGTGTAATATATTAATATGTGATAAATAGTTTGACAAATAATATGACTATAAATAATTTTTTGTTTTTTTATGCTCTAAACCATATATGGTCTAGTGTGTAAATTTGCACTAATTTATATATTTTCAAAAGTAACAGTTTTGAAGATGTATACGTATCTTCTTTAAGAAATTCAATTTATTACAATTTATTTTTAAAATGAATAAAAAAATAATATATTTAATGTAGAGTAAAATGTAGAGATAAGGGTTGAAGATGAATGTTCAACTCTACTCTAGAGTAGAGTAAGACTACTTTTATTGGTGACCCCAAAGAGTGGGTCACCGATTAAAAACTCAAAAAAAAAATAAAAAATAAAAAAGAAAAGCAATAGGTTGTGCAACCGAGGTCACAATGTGACCCAAGGTTGCAACCGGTTGCTTTATAAAAGTGGACACTTGTCCCTTTTTTATTGGTCAAATATATATATTTTTTTGTTTTAAAAAAATAAAAAATAAATACTAAAATTTATATTTTTTTATTCTCTACAAATAGAGACCACACTTGATATATTTTGGAATACAATTGTATTTTTTAAATAAATTAAAATACAATAAATATTTAGATTAAGTTGGGTTGGGGATAAAGATAAATTTGATTGTAAGGTTGAGTTGTATAGGTGGAGGAGAGAGAAATAATTTTTAATTATTAGGTTAGGTTGGGTTGGATTGAGGATAAGGAAAGTCTAAAAGGGCTGGAGATGGTCTAAGAGCATCCACAATGCTTTGGGTCTATTTTTGTATATGTGGCATATAATTGGACTTGAGTTTTAAATAACATAGACAAACTCAAGTAAAAAAATTCAAAAACTTTGCAATGCAAAAATAAAAAGACTAGGTCTATCATACATGCCAACCAATAGAAATGCTCTAATATGTTTTATTTATTAAAAAAAAATTAAATTAAGAACAATGATGAGTGTTTGGGTTTGTACTTGGGTCCAAAATAGACCCAAGTGTGGACTTGGTCTCTTTTTTTCATTGCCACATAAGTTAGACCATGTCTACTTTTAATTGCATTGGGAAGTATTTTTTTTATAGACTAAGTCTATTTCCCATGTGGCATGTGATTTTTTGTTAAAAGACCCAAAACATTGTGGATGCTCTAATCATGGCGTTGTACTACTAGTTATTATTGAATGTACCTTCATTCTTATCTGGTAGCTGTCTGTTCATACTTGGTATCCTCTAGGCGTAGAGACCAACTGACCAACTCAACTTTAGAAAACCTTCCCAGTCAAACGAAAACTAGGTTTTCCAAAGGGGATATTGACTTAGAGTAGACTAGCAAGACAACAATGGCGTCTACACTCTGTAAGCACTCACCAGCTGCTCCACACCTTTGCTTCCCATCCAACAGAGTCATCAGATACAGATTACCCCTCCGCTCCTTCTGTCAACCAAACGCAACGGCCATCCGCTGCTCCCTCCGCCGGCCGGAGTACATCCCCAACCACATTCCCGACCCTAAGTATGTCCGCATATTCGACACCACGCTCCGCGACGGCGAGCAGTCCCCCGGCGCCACCATGACCACCAAGGAGAAGCTCGACATCGCCAGGCAACTCGCTCGCCTTGGGGTCGACATAATCGAGGCCGGTTTTCCGGCCTCTTCTGACGCCGACTTTCAAGGCGTTCAATTGATCGCGCGCGAGGTCGGAAATGCGGATACAGATCACGTGCCCGTCATCTGTGGCTTGTCCAGGTGCAACAAGCGGGACATCGATAGGGCTTGGGAGGCGGTTAGGTTCGCCAAGAAGCCCAGGATTCACACTTTCATCGCTACTAGTGAAATTCACATGAAGTTCAAGCTGAAGATGACCCCAGAGCAGGTGATCGACAAGGCTAGGAGCATGGTGACTTATGCACGGAGTTTAGGGTGTGATGACGTCGAGTTCAGCCCGGAAGATGCTGGAAGGTGACGAAAATATTATTTTACTTTTCGGATTGTTGTACTATGGATAAGTATTTGTTTAGAGATTCTTGACTGCCTTAATGGGAATATTAACCAGAAATGCATGTGGTGATAATTTTGATCTAATACGCTAGTGTACCACCTTTTCATAGCTAAACCTAACAGTTTTCCTAACTGCTATCTGTTCAAGTTAAAAGAATTCATAGCCGCAAAAGGCGATTACAGCAGCATTTGACTTTAGAAACATTCTACATCAAAGTAATATCTATCGCTGACTTCTTTTGTGTTTAATTTCAATACTAGTGATTTAACTCTTCAGAGTTCAAAAAAGTCATGTGAGCTATGGTATATTTGAAAATCAACCGTATAGTTTATTTTCATTGTCCTGTCCGTTAATACAGGATGGGGACTACCTTTGGTGACTAAGGCATACATGTACAAATGTTGTTTCAGTAAAGTGATGTTTGTGCTGTCTCTATGGGTATTGGTAGGTTAAAAATGTCAGCATATGTATAATATGTGGTGCATGCTGGCTCTTTCCCATATGTTTTGACTTAGCTTACAAAATTTATACCAACTTTTTCGGTTGATACTATGGACCAACTTTCGGCCCAAGTGCCTCTTTGTACTCTGTAGGCTCTTGTAAATTCTGTGAACGATTTGATGCTGCTGGTCGACATCTGGTGCATAGAACTAATGCGTGTAAGTTCATGATGATGAAAACCACTAAACTAGCAGTTTTTCATGTTTTTCCCATTATTTTCAACTTGGGGGGTACTGATGATCGTAATAGCTTAATGTGACCTCATCTAGAAAGTGTTATCACATTTTTCTTCTTTTGTTCCTTACAGATCAGACAGAGAGTTTCTTTATCAAATCCTGGGAGAAGTTATTAAGGCTGGTGCAACAACTCTTAACATCCCTGATACAGTCGGCTATACTTTGCCCAATGAATTTGGACAATTAATTGCTGATATAAAGGCAAACACTCCTGGAATTGAAAATGTGATTATTTCAACTCACTGTCAGAATGACCTTGGACTTTCCACTGCTAATACTTTGGCGGTATACAACTTCTTTTTGTTTGTGCTATAAGCTATCTATCCACACACACACACACACACACACACACATAACAAAACCGAAAAAAATTGAACATCCACACTGCTTCTTATCTTCAGGGGGCATCTGCTGGTGCAAGGCAACTGGAGGTAACTATTAATGGCATTGGTGAGAGAGCTGGTAATGCCTCACTGGAGGAGGTGGGTCTCTCTTCGGATTTCCATGTTCTTGCTCCCTAGTGTTTTTCATTTATATGGGGAGTGCCTGGTGTAGTATTATTGCATTATTCTTCAGTTTCTCTATGGTGCTCTAATATACCAAGAGCAAAACCTAAAAGTTATTGATACAAAAGAAGAACCTAAAACCAGAATTTCATTTTACGAGTTACAAGGAAACTTCATTGTCATGAATGGCATTACCTTTTCCTCTATCCAAGTTACAGTTGCCTTTTGTCAAACCAATCAAATTGCCCAAGGACTAGATCTACTAAAATTCTCTTGATTTCACTTTTTGCTTGTTTAACTGCAGGTTGTAATGGCCTTAAAATGCCGTGGAGAGCAAATACTGGATGGCCTTTACACGGGGATCAATACGCAACACATTATTATGGCAAGCAAGATGGTACTAGTGTACTTAGCCTCTTTAGCACTTGTTAAATTTTCTCTGACTTGGATATATCTTTTAATACGTTGAATTCTATATTTCAGGTAGAAGAGTACAGTGGGCTCCGTGTGCAACCACACAAAGCAATCGTTGGAGCTAATGCTTTCGCTCATGAAAGTGGAATACATCAGGTTGGTTAAATAGCTAGTTTCTGAATTTTTTTTTTAGTTATTTTGCATATTTGCATTTTCAATCTTCACCTGGCTTATTGATGTACCATTTTTATTGTTGTCAACTTGTGAACTCGTAACTCTCTATTATTGGTCTTGCTTTGCTGGTGGGGCGTATAGTTGCGCATAGGAATATCTTATTTTTATATTCGACTATAGGACAATTCAACTTTTATGCTACAGACTTGTTTGTCTTTTTGTTCTGATTTTTGTTAAGAGCAATAGCATTTCATGGGCATGACATTAGCATGTAGGCTTGACTAATATACTTTCCATATGTAATAGTTCTAGCTAACTGATCGTGGGAACATATAGATGCCATATTCTTTGAGTTGTAACTTGTAACAGTGATGAATGGTTAATATCTGTATTGGTCCTGTTGGAGGGAAATAGATCAAGAGAATCGGCCGCATGTTTGTGTTAGCTTTGTTGAGGCTTGTATATGGCTGAGACCTCCAGAAGTCTTTAGAGATTTGACGGTATTTTGCATGCATTCTTTGTGTCAACCGTCTTGACAATGACACTCAAAGATGTATGGCTATGATTGTTTGATATCTTTATGTGTAAAAGCTTCTTGTTTCTTCTAATTCATGGCTTGTTCTTTTGCTTGTTGCAAACACTTCGATGTCACATAATATGCAAAGTAGGGTGCAGTATAATCGTACTATTTGAATAGGTGAACTTATGGTATCATGTGGTCGGATGATAGTTGCAGCTAGCATTATAGAAAGTCTCCAGTGGTTTTTGCGTACATGGAGGCGAGTGAAGATTCTCTTAGCATTGTAGAAACTGTGATGTTTTTATATTGAACTTTATTCATGTTTCTTGTTGTGTCTTTTTTATACTTTGTTCTTGATTCATTGGATCAAGTTACTTGCCTGATGGCTCTAATCTAAACAGTCATGGTTTGTTTTTTGTGTGTCAATTTTGTTTGTGTGGGTCAACTGTAAACCGCTTAAAATTGTTCTATTATTTATTTCTTCAACTCTTCTTGCAGGATGGAATGCTTAAACATAAAAACACATATGAAATTATATCTCCTGAAGATATTGGACTTCTTCGTTCCAATGAATCTGGTATAGTGCTTGGAAAACTCAGGTATACCTCAATCACCTGTCAATGTCTACTTTCATGCTGTCGGCCTCTCTTCATTGTCGTTCTTTAAGTTTTCACTAGCTTGTTTTGCGTAATCATGATCTGATTCATTGTAAAGTAAAAGATCATTTTATACCCAATATTTGTTTGCATCTATTTCTGCTGTAAGTCAAATGCAGACTGTGTCTTAGAAAAATTTCAGGTTTATACAATTGCAAACTTAAGGTCTCTCAGATTAATCTTGTTTGCATTAATTGTCAGATCTGCTACTGCTTTTTAAAACTGGTTTTTCCAAATCTTCAACTGTTTTTCGAAGTGTGGAGGTAACTTTGTGCTGCTGCTGTAGTTCTATCATCTATGCACGGGATTGTATGTGAGCATGTGGAAATAAAATAAGAATGAGACTGTATGTGACAACAAAGAACTAAGAGAAGACAACAAAGTTTTCAGCTATACAGGACTTCTTATTAGGAAGGCTATAGAACTCAACTCTAGATTGTCTCCTGTGCAGTAGGATCTTGATTATCCCTTAGAATAAAGGTGCTGTAGAGACTGCAGAGCTTGCAATTAAGTTTAGATATAACTAACATGATCAATAAAATAGAGAACTACTTATTATCAGAGTCCAGTCATGTCCGAGTTGTGTCCTCATCCCGTCATTTTAAAATAATTATGATATCATAACTTAAATTCTGGATTGTGATGCTCGTCTTAAGAATCAGCTAACATGTAAGCACAGTTCTTTTTCATCCATAACCATCAAACTTTTAACAGCTTAAGCCCCATCTGAGTGTGCATTCCTCGGCTACTTTCAACTTTCTAATATCAGCTTCTGCGTCACTAGTGAAGGAAATTGTAGGTTATATCTGTTGAAAGTGTGATCTTTATGAATAGGACTTACAATTGCTTTGTTAAGATGGAGTCTAGATAATGAGATGATGATGATGATGATGATCGGCCTAGTGTGCTGAGATGTGGCTACTGGATTTCCCTTTGGCTGTGTCTATACATTCCCTGATTATTAGCTTACTTTCTAAGTTGATTTCAGCTCTACATTTGGAACTCTGAATATAGAAGTAATTTATGGAAGATAGACTGGATATGCTTCTACATTAAGAGAGGCCCACAGTTTCATTTAAAACCGTGCCCTTGCAGCTACCCAACAATAGCTTCCTTTAGTACATGCAACTGAATTTGTGTCTGGGCAACCATAGTTGTCATGTTAATGATCATGTATCATGGGTCTTGATGTACATATAGGAACTTTCTTAACTTACTTTTTGACATTTCTTTGACAGTGGTCGCCATGCTTTAAAAGCCAAAATGTTGGAGGTAAAGTGCAGTTTGAGCATGTTGTACTATTACTAGATATTTAATATATGTTAGAAATTTGCTCATAATATGCAACACATCCTACTCTAATTTTCCTTTATATGAATATGTGGTTGCAGCTTGGGTACGATATTGATGGAAAGGAACTTGATGATCTTTTTGCGCGTTTCAAAGATGTAGCAGGAAATAAAAAGGTAATTGTGGTTCTTGTCTTGTTTCTGAATTTTGCCGTGATTATGATAGAATTTGTGTTCATTATTGACTAAAATATTTTTAAAATCCTACAAAATAGAGGACTGTAGGCCATCTCCTGATTCATCTGATGTTGATACAAAGAAGTTAATTCTTACTTTATCCAAAAATAGTTATTCCCTCTTACGATTCTGTTGCATCTTTCTTTGTCCCCATTTTCTACCTAGTCCGGGACCTCACTTTGTAGCCAAAATATGACATTTAAGTGAGAACACTGCATATTTGAACACATGTTTGTGGGGATATTTGTTCCAACTTGTTTATATGTTGTTGTTTTTTCAGATTATCACTGATGATGACTTGGTCGCCCTAGTCTCAGATGAAGTTTTCCAGCCACTCGTTGTTTGGAAACTTGAAGATGTACAGGCATGTCCATATCATGTGTTTAAGCTTGATTATTGATCATTCTATGTAGTCTTGTGTAATAATAGAGTGGTCAATTTGGGCAGGTTACATGTGGAAGTCTTGGTCTTTCAACGGCCACAGTCAAACTCATTGATGCTGATGGCAATGAGCATATTTCTTGTTCAGTTGGAACTGGACCGGTTGATGCTGCATATAAGGCGGTTGATCTTATTGTTAAGGTCCAAATCTTGAACAAATTACAGTTGCTTTTTGCATCATTTACAATGATAATTGGATCAAGTTGAAGCTGAGAAAGATATATACAGAATCAGATATGACGTAGTATTTACACTGACTCATAGACGTGTAGTGTATGAGAATTAGTTGGTTTCAACTTTTGTACAGGCTATGTAGCTAAGCTAATCTCTTATTTCTGTATTCGTCTGCTATTACTGCTTCAGGCCAATCCAAGTAATACTCGTTCCTATTATATATCAAATCACTTTTATTTAATTGTTTTGCTTTTTTGCAGGTTCCTGTGACACTTCTTGAATATTCCATGAATGCAGTCACCGAAGGCATTGATGCTATTGCCACAACAAGGGTTTTAATTCGTGCAGAAAATAGCGTTACATCAACCCATGCTTTGACCGAGAAGCCTATCGACCGTGCATTCAGGTATGGCAATACTCACTCATTTTTTTTTTTTTTTTTAATTGGAATCTCTTTTGAAATCAGTCATCTTTAAATTACAAATGACCACTAAGTAACCCTTGATGTATCATGGTTAGCCGCTCAAAGTGTGTGCAAGGGTGCTTGTTTACAAGTTTTCCTCAAAAAAATTCAATCCCAATTCAAATTTAACTCAACCTTACTATCCTCAATATTTAATATAATTATATACTATAAATCAATTATCCATACACATCACATCAACTTTAATTCACTATTCATTCACTCGCATAATTTTAAATTTTTAACTACCCATCACTTCCAATCCCCCATCTCCTACTATTACATCAAATCAACTTCAGTCATTTTATTTTAAATATTATTTTAATAAAAACTCAAAATTCCACTCAAACTNAAAAAAAAAAAAAAAAAAAATTATAAACAAGCATGCTCTTAATGCAAAAATGCCCCGATCCAATAGGGGATATTTGTAGAATAGACACATGGATTTTTAGTTTTTGATCTTTAACTGTTTGTTTGTTTGTTTGGTTTTTTTCGTTTTTTGGAGGGATTGTTAATTAAGCTAAATGTAAGGGACAATGTGGTCAAAGCGCAACGGAGAAAAATTCAATTTATGTGACATTATACTTGAGTAATTTTCAAGTACATATATGACGTGTGTTTCTTCTGCTGGACCAGTGGCACTGGAGCAGCTATGGATATTGTTATCTCGAGCGTTCGAGCCTATGTTGGTGCACTCAACAAGCTATTGGGCTTCAAGGATCGATCAAAAGCTGTGGATCCTAATGAAAGCAAGTTGTTGCATACATACAGATGAAGCAAGTTTGTTTTGTTTGTCTAATAATGGTGGTCAGCGTGAGAAATGGGGCCTTGGATGAATGTTGGAGAATAGACGGAGTGTTGTATTTATTGGAAAACGTATTATGTAAATGTCGTTTGCTCATGCCAAAGTTGCATTGTATTTAATGTATTTGCTGCAACTTGTAAAATTCGAATATAGCATATTAGAGCTACGATGATGTTTGGTTGATGTTGTAAAAGCTGGTAAAAACATCTTTATTTTCTCTATTTGCGGGTTACCACGTGTTTAGAAATTGCGTCAAACACTTTCATGATTTGATAAATGTAGCTCTCTTTATATTTAACGGGTTCATTTGATTAATTTTTCTTTGTACATTCACTATAAATCATGATAAATTTAAATTATTGTGATGTTATTAAATATTACAAAAATTCATAATATTGTGAAAGATTGTGTTAAATTAACGTGTCATGGGAATTTGTAATTACATGTGTTTTGACAATATAAAAACAAAAATGTTAGTGCTTTTATAAACCATTTTGAAAAATAGCATAATTAATTTTAAAATTTTTGGTTTATTTATTCTCGAATCCTAACAAATGTAAACCTACTTATGTTTTTCTAAATAATTTTTTATACAAAATTAATGTTGACGGTCGGCTGCTAATGATTATTATTGATATTAATCGGGCGGTTAAATTGGGAGTTACGATATATTTTACGACAAAATTAAAGGTAGAAAATCAGGACAGAATTAAAGGTAGAACATTGGAGCGAATATGAACAGATTCTACAAAATGGGAATGAAAACAAGTGAGAAAAGAACACGACACTTATTTTGCCGATCTGTGGAGGAAATAGTCAATTATTTATATACTAATTTTGCTGCAATTAATATCCTATTATTTAAACGAATTAGTCAATTATTTATAGAGTCTATACCGATGTTCTACTTGAAATTTTAATCATCACTCCACATCATTGTTATGCTACTTTTATGACAAATCAATTTTAATTATTTAGTTTAAATATTATTTTCATATAAACTTAACATCTCACTTACAAGTTACAACTAATAATACCATATTCTTTTTTTAAATTAATGTTGATTAACCAAAAAATACGTTTTGAACTATAGGCCCTAAATGGAGACATCTATTTACTATATAATTAGACAACTCATTCCTTTTTTAGTAAGTCTAATAGTGGGTCTCTCAAAAGTGACTTTCCATAAATGGTAAGTATTTTTCACACTTTTATTTTTGTCTCTAATATTAGGACCCTTGGATGTGGAGTAGTGGGCGGTAATTGCTCTTTCTGATATTTTTGTATTGTATTTAGTTATTTTTAAACAAATAACATGTCTCCACCAACCATTATCTTTATAATTGTAAATATACAATATTATGCTCGAAATGAGGTGATTGACAATAAAAGTCTTAGGCAAACATGAAATAGCAATTAATAGAATGTAATTTTAATAGTAATGGATAAAGCATAAAATTGAATTAATAAAATATAAACATATTTAGTCTGGAAGAGACCTATTTGGCAGTGAAGTTCGGTTGAATGGAGTTTAATATGATAATGCCAAAACTTATAGTTATTTGTAGGTTGTTTTGGTGGGTTGAGTATATATTTACCACTTTCATAATATGATAATACCAAATCCTGTAGTTATTTGTTTTAACTATTAATATTGATGTTGAATTATTTTAAATGGATAATATCATATCTCCATCAAACGTAACTATAATTATTTATATTGAATTATATTTTTAAATAAAAAATATCAATTAATTTATATAATTACAGAATTACTTATACATAATTACTTGATGAAATTATTTATTACGAAATTCGTTTGTGGCCTTACCTGCTGACTAACTTATGATTATTAACCAATTGCAATATATATATATATATGTGTGCGTTAATTACAAATCAATTTAATGATGAGGCAATCGATTATTAATTATATTATTTATTAATTTATTGTATTTGTCTTTCTAAGTGGATGAGAAGATGATGTTTTAGTGGTTAACTACGCCGTTACCACTTTCACATTAACTATTTGTATAAAATTATCAATTTCACATTTAAAAATCTTTGAATGTAGTTACAACAAATTAAAGTATACACTTTATTTTTTACAATTTGACCCACATATGTACAAAATATATTTATTTTTCCAGTTTCCTTTCATGGAATTCACACTTCTGAAAGAAGTCACGACAAAGTGGTCAATTTGGTTTGATGCTATAAGATTACGATATACGAAGTTGTTATAAGCATATGGATACGAAGAGTGTTCAAACATCTTAAACTGAAAAATTATTCTCCACAACCGTGATACGAGTTTTAAATTTTCATGTAGTTTTTAATGCATTTGACAATATTTTATCATAATGTTTCAAATTTTGAATTCAGGTGTAACTCGGGATTCCATTGTTGTGCTAAATGATCGTTCAGTTGTAATGAAGTCGAAGTTGGTTATATGTGTTAAATAATGTGAAGATGCTGGAAATAATGGTTTACGTGTAAGAACTATAAATTGTCACATTTGTCTTTGCCTACAAGTAGGGGTGTGCAAATTTTGACTAAAATCGACCGAACCGACCGAAACCGACCGAACCGACCAATTCGGTTCGGTTTTTGTTCGACTCGGTCGGTAGTCGGTTTTTAATTTGTAAATTTTCGGTTTTTTCGGTCGGTGTCGGCTTTGGACATAAAATGTCCGAAAAAACCGAACCGACCGAATAATATATATATATGTATGTATATATCATATTATATATTATATATTATAATATAATATTTTAATACATATTTTATAAAATAAGTAAATAACCCTAACGCTCTCTGTACTCTCTCTTCTCATTTCAGAAACGCGCCTCTTTCCCCAAATCCTCCCCAGTAACAATTTTGCAATGTTGTTGTTTGATGAACTATTCATCACCCTCAGTAATATGAATTTACTATATAAATATGTGTATGTACTACTTTTTAATTAGTAAATAATAGTTTAATATAAAATCTATACTTATATAAAAAGTCATCTTATTTACTAGAATTATTAGGCAGAAAACTCAAAGTTAATTAATGTCATTCTATTTCCAGCAAGTATTTTATTTATTTGTTTTATCCCATAACATCAGTCAAATAAATCCCATAAAATCGATTTAAAGTTTGTGTAGATTTAAATTTCCTTCTTATCTTTTTACAAAAAATCTCCAATAACCTTTGTTTTGATTTGCCCCTCAATATGTAAAATCCGATTTTCGTAAATACTACTGGTTTAAATCGTCTATATAGTTGTAGATTGAAAATTCCTTCTTACCTTGAAACAAATAATAGATGCAATCTGATTCCTTCTTATTTTAAATTCCTTCTTATTCCTTCTTATCTGTTAAGATTATTAGATGCAATCCGATTTCCGTATATTGAGATTTTATCGTAAAAATATTAACAGATATTGTATTTAGTCTACAAATTATGCATTATAAACCTCAAAATATTGAGCAGCGTCTTTGTCACTTTCAACATCCTGCGATAAAAAAAAAAAAACTCCAATAAGTCTTTCATTCAAAACAATGAACCAAGAATTTGGCTTAATCAAACAAGTAATAGGTCTAATAGACCTATGCTTAAAGTTCGAATTGTAAGAATATTTTCCAAGACTCGGGCAGCACATACAGATCCTATCTCGAGTTGGTTCTGCATGATAAAACTGTAAGTCAAATCATTTTTACTTCTTTTTTGTTTATTTCGAAATATGAAACGTATATTTTCGATTTATTTTATTATTTTTAAAATTTAGAATTTGTCTTATCGCACATTGGTCTTTTTCTAAAGAAACCTGTCTTTAGTCATGGCTAATTATATGTTGTTATTTTGCGTGTAACTAATAGAAAGGGGTTGAAAATATTAGTGTGTGAGAATAACGAGTTGCTCAATAATCAAACTCATAATGTTGTGTACAAGGATGTCTTTAATAATATATGATTGTTTCTTTGTCGAATACTATTTCATTGTACAATTTTTCTACGTATTATAAAACTTTTATTGAATATTGCATCTTATAATATAATATTTTTCAAATAAATATATCTCGTGCCTCACACGTGTCACGTACTATATATATCCCGTACATTTTTATTTATTCATGTATATAAATATAAGCTTGGATAAATATCATTAAAATTGTGCACCCCGTGCATCGCACGGGCTCTGCACTAGTGTATATTACACGCGAGACGTATAGTAAAATGGTTATAGAGAGGACGACAGAGATGGTATTTATTATATAAAAGACATGTAATTGAATAAATTGATGCAGATGCCCTAAGACCTACCCCAACTGCGGTTGTCACTCCCGTTCTTCCGATGTCTGCAAGCTCTCTTCTCTCGGCAAACCCATCGTATTCTAACGATGGTGGCGCCACGGATGTCCGGCGGAGCCTTGTCGCGACAACTGTAGAAGCGCCATCACCCGAACTACAATCTGCAGACTCTCTTGATCCCGAAAACAACAGCGACTATCGTGTGTTACTTCCCGCGCAAGAGAGCAACGAAGGCGCCGTATTTGAGGACGACAAACCGATGATCAGCGTCCTAGAAAAAGTGGGAGGTGCCTCAGGCGACCACCAAGAACAAGTGCACGTGATGTGTTCGGAGAAATGCGCGCTCAAGAGCCAAACGGGGAAGAAAAAACCTAGGCGAAGGGGAGGAAATGCCAGAAAGAACAAGGCCGTTTTAAACTGTTATCCGATTGAGAATAGAGAAAAGAAGGGGCATTGGTATTCGAGAAAGGAAATGGAGGTTCTGAGGTTTCAAGGGGTGGAAGAGCAAAAGAAGAAGTGGGTCGAGGTGTACTGTGGGCTTGGTCCACTGGTGCAGCGGGAGTATGATGAACTGGTGAAGTCGGAAAAGACTCGTGAAGAGGATAGTTTCCCAAGCTTTGATTTTGACTTTGATCCACGCCCTCAGTTCCAGAAATCTGCTGACTTGAGTATGCTTTCTCTTTCTAGCCTTTGGTACTTTATTGAAATCGTTGTGCTTTAAACGAGGCTCGATGCTTGTGCAAGTGTCGTGGAAAAGATATTTGTTGTCATGGTGATTTTGCTGTTTAGTATTTACAGAATAGCCATGTATTTTTATGGAAGTTGGAATATTAAGGGGCAATGAAATGGAGCAAAGATGGATGAAAAAAACTTACTTTATATTCATCTGCTTGCTGTTTGAATCAGACCAAATATGTTGGCAAATACCAAGTCTTCAGATCATTTGCTAATCAAGCATTTCTGTTCTTTTTTTGATGGACTAACTGACTGAATTAATCCAGAATCAGGGAAGGCATTTATGTTTATGTTGGCAACTTATTGCTCTTCAGGTTGTAGTGAAATCCGTCAGGTGTTAATCTTAATTCTTATCCCATGGAGTGTGTTTAAGTTTAATCGTAATAACTGTGAGATAAATGTTCAGTGTTAATAGATTCAAATGTCCAGACTAACATGGTTAGTAGGAGAACATCTTATTCTTATGATACGATTCATCATACCAAAGTCTATATCCATGTCCTGTGGGTCTTCTCACTTCTCCTTTTCCCTATCATACAAATTGCCTTTAGTTATTTCTTTTATTATATCAATATCAAGTTTGAACTCAACTGATTAACATTCTCCTGAACATACTTTCCTTTGTGTTTTTTTGTATCCTGTACTATTCTTTTTTATCCCTGATAAATTAATCTTGTAAAGTTGTGTTGATATCTCTAAGATGTTTGCCGTACCCCATTCATTCTAAATGTGATGAGACTCTTGGTTTTTCTATGCATTTTTTTAGGTATTTGCCAAAATGATAAGTATCCATTCCTTATTTCCTTCTTCTGTCATCTTTTCCTTTCTGTTTCTTCTATTGCTATCGTCATTCATTTCTTTCTACATCTGCTTATTTTGGGACAATATGCCTATAGCCAATCTTGGTTTTTTTGAAGTGTGAACTTTTGGTTGATAAGGCAAAAGCGAAAATACAGTGACACAGAGAAGAAAAAAGTAGATGGCTTTCAACTTATTAATTTGGCCATTTATTTTCTTCTTTATGAATCTGTTTTACTGTTTCCTAAATCCTAAGATCATCTTCATGGTTGTGTTACAAGTTAATCTGGACTTGGCCAAGAGCAATGGCCTTACTTGTTCCACAAAGTCTTTTTCCTTTTCATCATTTCTCTAAATTTTTCTAAGTCGTCTCTTTTTTGGGTGGGGGTTTTAAGGCTTTGCGGGGATATGGTGGTTTGAGGTGGAGTTTGGGGGACATGATTTGTCTGTCCCAGGTCTATCACAATTCTGGTTGTTTCGATTTGATGCATTATATTTCTATGTGCACAAGTGTGCTGGCTGCTATGGGAAATGAAACCTGTCTCATTAGCTTGCACTGAAGAATGGTCTCTTGGAATGTGAAAATGTAGTTTGTGAAATTCCTATTTGTCGTTAAAATAGATAGAACTTTGTGTTGCCTTAAGAGAATGGGTTTTGACTACTTTAGCCCAATAAAATCTTGGATTCTGAGACTTGGAATACTTGCATATTTGACATGAAAGTATGATTGGCAGATGATATTTGCAAATGTGACTTTTGATAGACACTGTTACCTGTAGAAGTTGAACAAAAATTATCAGACTTGAGGTATCTAATAGATATTGTTTGAATTGTACAACTTTGGCCTTTTCAAAATTGGTAAAAAATTTGTATGTCCTCGGCTTTTCTATTTAGTTATGTGTATATCTTAATATGACTGGGTGGCACAAACCTTGCTTGCATGTTACAGGCGAAGGCTGCCCGCAGCTTTTGGATAATCATTCGGAAGATATGATTACCTCAGATCCTTCCTCCTGTCTCCCAATTAGTGATGAAATAGGATTCTCAGCTTTGGAAGGAGAGTACAGTGAAGATGATGAAAGTGATGACGACTATAGTAGCATTCAAAGGCCAGCCTTTTTGGTTACAGGAGAACCTGATTTTGATTCTGGCCCTCCGCAAGATGGACTTGAATATCTTAGACGTGTAAGGTATAAATCATCAATTTCCCTCCAGATTGTTTGGTGATGCAATTAAACTGACCTTTTTTTTTTGGTGGTGGTGTCTTTGATGATGTCTTCGTAGAACACTATTTGGTGATTGTTTTTGCTTATTTATTTCCTTCTTGTTGAATTAGAGAAGATTGATACGTGTGAGTGGGCTAGTGGTTTGTTCTTATTATCCAATTTTGCTAATTCTGTATTCTCTGAATAAATCAAACCCGTAGATTTTAATAAAATGCTTAACAAATGCAGAGCTTAATCTCATGTATGTCAGGTGGTTGCGATAATATTGTATGTTGTACTCTTTTTTTCCAAATAATGTATATTTTTTCCTGGTCTTTAGTTGCAGTTCTTAATTTTGTTTTATTTCATGCTCTTTTGTTTAGTTGGAGAATGACATCCTACTTTCACTTACTTTTATAAGGTGGTAATCAGTCTTTGTCTTGATCTTTATTTTAGGACTACAAATGTTCAATTGATTGAGTGACTTTTTCCAAAGAAATATATCTGCACTATTTGCTGCATAACCATGCTATGATGCTATTATAACAAGGTAGTGAGTGAATGAGTGGAGATCCATTGTGAGGTAGATATCAATGCTAACGTAGGATCAGTTAAGCAATATAATAGAAGTATATTGAGATTATATCCATGAAATGAACTTGCTGCTACTAAAATAAAATATATTGAGCAATCTACACATACAAAATTTAAACCTGATGTGATGCCATTTTGATATTTGAAGAAAAATAATAATAAGGCAAAAATTTATTAATGTGTTTGGCCATTCACTTTTACTTGTATTCCAATTCTATCTGTAAGCATGTGGGGTGTATTAGACGTGTTGGACTGGATTTCTGGAGACTGGATGAGATTACCCATGTCAATTTGCTTGGAAGTTAATATTGTGCTACAGTTATAGTCACCATACAATTAAGAAACACACTTCCAGAACCATACATGAAATTTTCACCTCACTGCTCCCCTCTTAGGTGCATAAGGAGAATAATTTATACTACTGAAATCTTTCAGGTTTGGAACAAACCACCATCATGTCATCATTGTTAAATTCGGCAAATTCGGTGTTTCCAGTCATGAGCTCTAGTGTTTTTGTCACCTTTGCTGGTAATCTTGTGCTGTATTTCGTCACGTCTCTGTCTGCAGTGAACATATGCTTGGGTTAGCACGTGCTTTATAGAATATTTGAACTTCACAGTAAGTTTGCAGGAAATCAAAACAGCCGTTACATAAAAAATATGGAACTTACCTGCACCACTTTGTATGCAAAATAGGTTGCATGGAAAGTGACGTTTCGGAATGTATACATTACTTAAAATTTGTTTTGCTTGTGAGCAAGCACTTACAAGTTGTGGAATTCGTAGATGGATCACATTCCTGTGGTTAGAAAGGATGAGATTTATGTACCCTGATACTGTGCATTAGTGCCGAAAATGTGTTCAATTGGTAACTTTTGAAGTAATCCAAATGTGTAAGGGTCAACGAATAATAAATATAGAGTTAAGCTAATGCCACCTGACATACATGAGATTACAAATGCTTGTTCACATTTGTATATTTATCGCAACCCGTAAATATAAAGAAAAATGTTGTTGTCTTTTGAAATTACAAATGCTTGTTCACATTTGTATCTCTTTTACTAATGCCACAATGTTATTTCGAACCTAAGGGTCTTTGTAACATGTCAAGATGATATTTTCAATTTTTGAAAGAGAACAGAGTTTGATGCAATAAGTTAGACATTGTTTTTGTTACATGGTTGTTTGTTTCTGTTTTGTCACATCAATCCCCAGATATATGGGACTTGCTAATGTAAAAGTTTGGTATGTATGTAATGAAGATAACTTCTATCATGTCTCTCTTCAAGAAGATCCCGCAGTTGACAAATATTCGTTTTGACATTTCAATTTCAACTTTGAATAATATATGTGCCAATGTCCTAATGCAGAAAGTGCCTTGCTTGTTTTGTAGGTGGGAGGCTGATAGAATCCCGAAGGTGAAAGTTGTCAAGGTTAATAAAAACAAAGAACAGAGTGTTTATATGCCTCAAATTCCTGATATTATGGAGTGCCCTGAGAACATATTGCCACTTAAACAGTGGGAAAACAGCTTCCTTGCTGATTTCTCAGAGCTGAGACAGGTACAATTTGTATAAAAATGATGTTTTAGCCTAGCTGCTTTCATTTCCAAACTCGTTTCAGTAGGATTTCATGTAAAAATGTTGAAGACATTTGGACCAGTCTTTATTTAGATATGCTGTCTATAAGTAGGGCGGGCTGCTACATGTTATCTAGAGCTTTTATTTGAACTGAACTGTTAGCGAACATAAATCAGTTCGACTCGTAAAAACTCAAAGTTCAACTTGTTTATATAATTCAACAAGTGAAGCTCGTTCAACTAATTAAGCTTGTTTATCAAACGAATCGTGTTCCCGAATACTCATTTGTATTCGCGAACAATGGTCCTTTTTTGTCAGTATACCCTTAATCATTAATTAATGGTATTTTATATCGTGATTGCTTGCATGTAATAGTAATTTTTATTGCAAGCTGATAATGCGGAGAAACTTTCAGTTCGTATTTATCTTCGTATTTGAAAAGTAATCAACATTAGTTAAAGCAATATATGAGCATGCCTATGAAACTGCCTAAATTTCTTTCAGGCTTTCTCGCGGCTCGACCCACAGGCTTCCCGTTTGAAAAGTTCAACTGAAGAGCACCTGTCCACCGATGAAGATGATATTTTGGGTCAGATGCTTGAAATTAACACAAGTGTTGGGAAATTTGTGAACTTAACAATAGAAGATGATTCGAAAACCAATCCACATTCTCCGGAGAATTCCAATTTCACAGACGAAACCCCGACCCTCTCTAAGATTTTGAAAATGGACTTTGCTGCTCGAATTTCAATGTTAAAAAGGCGGATAAGTTGCATAGAGAATATGAGCACATTAACTCGTGATGAGAGTTTATGGTTGTTTGCTCTCTGTGTGGCGGTCGATTGGCCACTTGATGCCAGCACAAGTGCAGCACTCAGATCTCTACTGCGGAAGTGCGCAAGCCTGAGAGCTGGCAAAAAGGAAGTGGATGATGAAGTTGCTATTCTCAATATTCTTGTGACGATATCTGGTAGATATTTTGGACAGTTAGAATCTTGACGATTTCTCGCACATGGATGCTCGACTTTTCTGGTGCTCTACCATCTTCTTTGCTAAAGATGAAAATTGTGGTTGATGCATATTCGTTTAACATGAATTATACGCCACGATATTTGTCCTGAGATATGTGTTTTTGCTTTAGAATTTCATAGTTGTTTCCCTAGAGGTTGCTATCCAATTGTGAGAGATAGAAGGGAA